AAAGAGAAAAAACAAAAAAAAACAATAACTTATATTAATTAAAATTTCTTTAAAATAAATTAAAATAATAAAAAGACAAAAAAAACACTAAAAACAATAAAAAGACAAAAAAAACACTAAAAACAAAAAAGAAATGATGATTAAAGTAGAGTTAGGGTACCAACGAGTTGAGGTGCAATTTGATAGCGAAAGGCAGGCCTCACCCTCACCCTCACCCAACATGCATCTTTGAAGCATGTCGTAGTCGTGTTATGGGCGGACACGATTTCGGCACCAAAGACGATTGAATGATACAATTACGTACTATTGGATTTGAACGAATGACTCTCGCCCTATGAAAGCGATACTCGCCCCTGCATATGTCGAAAAAGAGGGAGCRGGGAAGGAAGAACAACCGTTCGACTTTGGCACATGAAAGGGGCATTCGGAAAGCGACTATCTGCTTTTAATAGATAAGTTTGTAGCTTGTGATCTTTGTTTGCGTATATCTTACCCTCCAGACCTACATTTGGATATATTAGGTCTGTTCGGTTTGGTTTGGTTTGGTTTATAGATGAGTTTGTAGCATCGAAAACGAATGGTAGCAATGAAAGAAACATGATGTGAGCTTTTAGTCACTGTGTCTTTGCAAGAATGTAAAGGAACAACTACATACAAAAACATCAACTTCACTTACCAATGCTCGCTCGCAAAGCCAACGAGCAAAGGTGCCAATTCGAGTTGATAACTGCACACAAAAACTTAGTACCTCTCTTTAAGGAGCATTGGTGCCAGTTCAAGCTAGTCAATTCTTTGAGGCAATGCAAAGGAAAACCACATAAAAAGGCTTCAAATTTGTTCACAAATGCTTGCATAACCAAGGAACAATGGTGAGGGTTTTATTCATGGTCTCTTTCATAAAATGCAAAGAAAAAACTGCATATAAACCATTCAAATACGCTAACCGTTTGGGTCCTGATCGATTTGAATCGCGATTGAGTCATCAATATGCAAAGGAAAGACTGTAAATAAAGTTGACACTTGGGTCACCAAGGCTCATAACTGAAACAGTCATGACTCAAATAGGTGTCATTCCAAAGGATAGTATCATAGTACACATTAAAAAGCTCAAATTCTTTAACTTGTAAGCATAAGATCTCCTATTATTGATGCAAAAACTGAAACACCCATGGCTCAAATCCATTTCAGCATTGAAACCAAGTGGAAGAAACTCACATGGAAAGGTTTCAGAGAGTTTTGAGCATGTCATCAGCACCACTGGAAGTGAAAGCCCCACCTTCTTCCAAGTTCAATACCTTCACAATTCCATCTTCCACAAGCATAGCATACCTCCTTGACCTAACCCCTAATCCAACTGGCTTGTCGCTCAAATCCAATTCACATCCAATCGCCCTCGTGAAATCCCCATTTCCATCGCTCAGCAACAACACCTCATCGCCAATTTTCAAATCGGCCTTCCATGCCTTCATTACGAAGGCGTCGTTGACCGAGATACACGCGATTGTGTCGACACCCTTGGCTTTGAGCTCGCCGGATTTCTCGACGAATCCAGGGAGGTGTTTCTGGGAACAAGTGGGGGTGAAGGCACCAGGGACGGCGAACAGGATTGCTTTCTTCGATTTGGTGAGATCGGAGATGGTGGCGGTTTGGAGGTCGTCCTCAGCGTCGAAGTAGGAGAAGGTAGCGTCGGGGAGCTTGTCTCCGACGGAGATGGTGGCGGTGATTTTGGGGGTGGTGGAGTATTTGATAGGGTGGTTGTAGGGGCGGAGGGTTTTGATCCGGAGGGGAGAGAAAGAGGAGGTGAGATAGCGGTGGTTGTGAGGGAGGATAGAGGCGGAGGTGAGGTGGGGTTTGGTGGCGGAGGAGAGGAGTCTTGAAAAAGATAAGGAAGCTGTTGCGGCTGCCATTGTTGCAGACGGCGGAGGAGGTGGTGGCGTGGGGTTTTATGAGGTCGGTGTTGATTTGGACGGAGGAAACAATGACGATTGAAGGAGAAAGACGATTATGACATGACACGAGAATGAGAAAATAGTGATTTTATTTTATTGAGTTATGGTTTGTTAAAAATTTCGATTTTAGTCCTTGTGGTTTAGATATTATGATTTTAGTCCCTATAATTTATAAACTATTATTATTTTTGTCCTTATGATTTATAGTTTATTCTTGTTTCAATTCTTGTAGTTTACAATTCTTTGCTATTTGGTTCTTTGTATTTATAAAGGGAAGAATTCGTTTAGAAACAAAAATAACAATAAATTACAAATCATAGGGACGAAAACTATAATTTCTAAACCACAAGAATGAAACTCACAATTTTTAACAAACCATAAGGAAAAAAAATATTATAAGTTACTCTATTTAATTTTAATAAACTTTTAAGAGTAAAATATAAATTTGGAGGTATGTTAAGGTTGTTTGTTTACCTCTTAACAGTTCAATTAAAAGACATCTGTATCATTAAGAGGTGAATTTTGTTTGATAAAAAAAGTGTCTTTTAATGGTTCCAAAACCCTTTGAATGGTTTTGTATCATGAGCCTCCTTTAACCATTAAGCGTCCTAATTTCATTGTAAACAATTATATTTTATTTTTCACTATATCATGAGGGTCTTTTAATCATTCTGACCACTTAATCGTTCTACACTAAATCATTCAGCAACTGCTAAACAAACCCCTTAGACTATCTCCAACAGATTTCTTAAAATTTCTCTAAAAACAAAAGTTAAAATGTTTAAAAACAATTATATTCATCTCCAACATATTCTTCGTTTTTAAGAATTCAACATTGATTACGATATTAAAATATTATCTCTCTCTAAATATTTATTTTCAAAGTTTTTTATTGATGGTTTCACATGACAATCATTTTTTAGGTGTTCTTCATATTTATAAAAAAAAAAACTTTTCTCTCTCCTACTTTCTACATTTTCAAGATAGTTTTAAGGAATCTGTTAGAGCAAAATATTGGTTCAAAATTATATTTTTCTTCGTTTTGTAGAAGCTGTTGAAGATGCTCTTAGTTATAATATATTTTTGTTCTTACATTTTGAAATTATAAGATGGTAATTTTATAGTTTGCAAAAGGGTTTAGATTTAATTCATCTTTAGTTCCTTCTGATTCGAATGTTTTGTAAACCACAATGATCATTTTTTATAATTTGAAATTACAAAGATGAAAAGTGTTATTTTTTATAAACAACAAGGACCAAATTTGTAGTTTAGTTTATTTTTAACCTAAAGATATTACCTTTTTTCGTTTCAAAACAAGTATCAGTATTTCTATTTATATATGTCTTAAACTAAGTGTCTATTTTCAAAAAATAGATAACCAAATTCTCAAATTTACTCTTAATTAATGCACAAATATTTAAAAACTGTGAAAAAAATAGAAATTTAATAAAGGTGAATATGTCATTTGGTTAACTAAAAAACATAATAATTATGCATGTCTAAAACTGTATGTCATTTCAATTATGTACACTTATTTTAAAACAAGGAAGTGTTATTTATTTTTATTAATTTAAATATATCAAGACAATGTTTTTTAAGTAGTTAAAAACCTCTCGTCACACATCACCGTGGATGCTCTAAATGGGTTTGTGTGAAAGTACTTATCATAGTGTGTACTGGTCGTAGTTTTTTGTCTAGTTATATATTCTTAAATTATTGAATTGTTTGTTTTGTTTTATATAGAATGAGTTATCTGTGTGGATTATTGTATCAGTATAGATTAAGCTAAATTGCTGTATGTTTGATGTGATTAATAAATTGTATGAATGACAAAAATGACTGTTTCACCTCAAATTACTATTTTTTGTTGTTAGTATCATTTACAATATCATTTCAATTCGATAAATTTGAAGACCATAGTAGTTCCATTTATGGGGGTTTATTGTGTAGACACACGTTAATAATTCTTCAAAAATGTTTCTTTCCCGACATTCTGTCTCATAATATCTTGAAAAGTCGAAGAAGAAACAACTGAGTTCATATATGCATCAAATGATCGATCAAACGTCATCAAGAAATATAAGAACAACAACAAGAAGTACTCTATACTGACAACAACAATAAAAAGCCCATACAAACATCAAGAAAAACCAGCACAAAGCTAAATAAATTCAACCATTTCAAACAACATGAAAAATCACCATATATCCATCATTTCAACTATTTAAACAACAAAAAATCGACATTTAACAATGTTCTTTGACCTCAAAAGCCCAGAAAATGATATCACCACATCGGCAACAAACTGGTGGTTCAACCTAGCTTATAAAACCATATGAATGTTCTTGCTTAAATCAAAGATGAGGAACAATTAGGGCAAATCACAGATAGAGAAGAAATAAAGTTTTTACCCTTTTTAGAGCAACAATAGAACCGCCTTCTTGGATTATTCGATGTCCATGATGTTCGAGTAAGTACAAGTTCTCCACAAAAGAAATGAGAGATGATACACGGTGTCATTGATTTGGAGAGTGATGAGAGAGCCATTGAAGATGAAAGTAAGGGGCCGTTTACCAAACACTTACCGTGCTTACCGGTAAAATGTAACACTATTATTTACTTTTGGGTAAGATTTTAGTCCACAAAATGACATGGTATGCAACAATTTACACGATAAGCGTTTACCATGGTAAGAGACGTCTCCCTCACTTATCAGGTAAGACTCTTGGTCCTTGTCTTGCTCTTACCGAATAAGATTCTTGGTTCTTACCATATTCATCCGGTGAGGTAATGTTATTTGGTAAGCGCTTACCCAGGTAAAAGTTTAATAAACGACCACTAAATTCGATAATGAGAGAGAGAGAGAGAGAGAGAGAGAGAGATGAGGGTTTTTGGTTTTAAAAAGGAGGGAATGAGAGAAAAGAATGGAATAGACGAAAATGCACCTCACATGAGGGGCACATGTTTGCCTCTAACGGGAGAAAATAGACAACGTTAGCCTCAGGGACTCGATTTGTTATGAAAAATCAACCACCAGGGCCTAATCCGTTGAATTTTTTAAACAAGGACATAGAGTGTTATAATCACCTAACCACAGGGACAAAACATGTAATTTACTCAAACACAAATTATGATCACTAAAAGTATTAAAAAGTAACAAGGAGAGGAGTTGTGGAATTAAATTGATCATTTTACTTGGAAAAATAAAATCTATGTGACATGCTTTGCTGTTTTTATAGTTATATGATATATTTGACATATTTTACAAACTTAAAAGATATTATTATATAATATTTTATTTTTATATCAATTTTGACCTAAAAAAAGGATATTTTGGTAACATTCCATCAAATTTGGTATAAAGTATCTTAAAAGGAATATCCCGTAACAATTTTTTACAAAATTAAAGGGACTAAAATTTACACCAAATTTGTTTTAAGTGACAAATTATTTTTTTAATAAAATAACAATATAACTTAATTATCGTCATTAATAATAATTTACTGTATTGTATCAAAATTTATGGGCCGTTTACTAAAGACTTACTTGGTAAGTGTTTATCGGATAAACTTTCTTATCGGATGAACATGAAAAGGGCCAAGAATCTTACCGGGTAAGAGCAATGAAAAAGATAAAGAGTCTTACCTGGTAAGTAAGGATGACAACTCTTACCCAGGTAACCACTTACCCAGTAACTTGTTGCATTCGATATGTTTTGATATATAAAAATCTTACGTATCAAAATAAATTATAATGTTGAATCCTATCAGTAAGCACTTAAGGGGTAAACATTTAGATAAACAACCCCTTAATGGTCAAATAATCTGTAATGGCTTTGTCTTCACAAAAAATAAGAAAATTTTGCAGGAAAAGTAAATTAAATTATGTTATTATTTGTGTAAATATCATATATCATTTAAATTAGAGTAAACTTGAATTTTGGTCTTCATAATTTAGTAAAATTTTTGAAAGTGAGAATTAAACTTTAATAATTCAGAAAGCATTTTTATGGGTTGCTTTTTGTTCTGAAAATGATGGTTGATCGTTAACTTTGTTAATAATGTTTGTTAGAGTGACAAACAATTATGTCTTTTACCAATTTTACTAGTTTTCTTTTAAAATTTAAGAAACTTGTTATATATATATATATATATATATATATATATATATATATAAACTTAGGATCATGTGAGAACAAAGGTTTTTCGTGAGACCCGTAGACCAAATGAACCCTTGATCTCATGTGACACTCAAGGTCAAATATGGTCGTTTGATGCCAAGTTGAAACGACAAATGATAACACAATTCGTCATTCAAGTCGTGTTGCCTTTCGGACATTTTGACAACCCTCACGTTACTAAGTTGATCCAAAAAACACTACAACCACGATACACGTCTGTAAGTCGTCAAACCCTTAGACGTGATGCAATTAAAATATAGAAAATGTGTCGAGGTGAAATGCAACAAATATTTTCTCTTTTGTCTGACAACATTTCTTTAACGTGTAATGTATGAAGTGCAACATACGGATTGTCGGTTTCTTATATATGCATAACGGCACATTAGATTGAGCCGCAATCGTGGCATTTATTCAAACATGTAATCGCGTTTGAACCATTTGGTGCGCCATATTCAGGTGCACGTCAATTTTCAATTATTAAAAAATGTTTTACATTTTATAATTTAACTACTAAAATAATTAGCATTTCATTTGATAACGCTAGTAATAACAATCTATGTATGAAAAAATTAAAGTGTTATTTGACACCTATTTTAGTAAATTATTTCATACACTTTGTTGTACACACATAATAAATTTAGCTGTTCAAGATTGTTTAAATACTTGTAAACCCCTAAAAAATAAGTTCAGACTTATGTTGTGACGAATTTTCACAAAGGGTAAGAAAATGAATACAGAATATAGAAAATATTGTGAAGACGTTGGTTTTAAAGCTTAATTACACAAATATGTGTGGCCTTGGTTTAGATACAGCTATGGATAATTTTTTTTCAACAGAACAAAAACGTTTGTTTAATCGTAATTTTCAAGAT